TCAGTTCACCTGCTTGATTGTATCTTGCATTTTTCACATCTCTAGTAGTCTTGCGTAATAACATTAAAGGATGGTTTCCTTCCGGTCGGCTTTTTTTCCCCATTGACTCATTAACTTTTCAATGGCATCTAAAAGATGCGCCTCCGCGCGAGAGAACAACCTGTTCTTGACGTCACGCGCGCGAGCACGCGGTCCTTCCCCGCGAGCGATCGAGGAACAGGGCTTCCCTCGCGCGACCCGGGTTGCTCGGCAACAGGATTCCGTTTAGAAACAAAACACGGGGGTTCCGTGCGAGTCGCGACGCTCCTTTTGTGTGACCCGGTGAAACGCCACGCTGTCTGACATTGTGAAACAACGCTTATCTCTTCCAGTTTCATAACAGTGTGAAATTACAGTCAGTAAAACTCATTCACGGGATGCTTTATTACCCCGTGGGTTTATCATAGTTAAACCCGTTGACGTGTATGCATACACTGCCCTGATTTCATTCCATCCACGGCGGAAATGAAATTATATAGCAAAAAAAGAGTTGTGCAATAGATCATGCACCTGTTATGAAAACCAAGTGTCATAACACACGAGAATTTAATAATAAGCACGGCCCCAACAGTCTGAGAGCACTAGTGCGTTTTTAATTTAATGCAATGTTCTCAATACAAATTATATGAGAGAAAAGTGGGATTTAGAGTTTCTCCTTTGTTTTAATGACCTGATGATCATGTTATTTGACGTTTTCAGTTGTAATGGATGAAGAAAATCCATAAAACTTTACAATTAGGTTTCATTTGTTAACATTACTTAATGTAAGCTATTGACTAACACTGACTGAGCAATACTTGTTACTGTATTTGTTAATCTTTGTTAACATTAGTTAATAAAAAAATGCAGCTATTCGTTGTTTGTTCACAGTGCATTAACTAATGTTAAGAAATACAACTTTTGATTTTAATAATGCATTAGCAAATGTTGAAATGAATATTAACAAATGCTGTAGAAGTGCAGTTTATTATGTTAACAATGAAACCATATTGCAAAGAAAATCTGACCATCAGTCGCATAAAAATGGAGTAAAACCTGAAATATTTGTGTTTTATATTTTACCATGTTTAATTCAAAAAGAGGTCTCTGACTTTTGGAGCCCATTTGATAAATTTAGTATGGCTAGGTAAGGCATGCATATTAGACTAAAAATGACCCCCCCCCCCCCCCCCCCCCCCCCCCAATATTACACTGTAAAAATGATTTTTCACAATTGTACAAAAGCAAATATTATTAAAGTACTACTTGTAAATTTCATGTTTAATTCTGCTACTCGGCATGTCATTATTTGTGAATTTTACAAGCAATGTCTGAGTGAAAATAGTTTTTTCCTCCAGTGTAGAGTTACACCACGCTCTCTTCTTTGCCAGATCCCACTGAACGTGCCAAACATCACAAAGGAAAAGGTGCCAGGAAAAGTTCCGGTCAGTGATTTAATCCCCATCGAGGACTGAACCTGTGGTTTTGCGTTCTGCTGGTTTTCTGTGAGAACCTGCTCTGAGGAATGTGATCGCCGGTATATGAATGGAGGCTGTGGAAGTGTGGAAGTGTGCTTTACCTGTTTCTACGTACTTACACCTGAGGAATGAAGACAAAAGATTTCGTCCTTTTCTACTCCCACACAAACCTGATGATCCAGAGGAAGCGCTCATGTTTTTCCTGTAACAGTAACCATGACAAATGCATAATACTATACAATACATTTGAACCCGTATTTTTACCAACAGTAAACGCATTCCTATATCAGGATAGTCAAACACAGTAAATAAGATATGCAACATTTTCTATTAAAGCTTATGCCAACTTAAGTTTTATGCAAAAAAAAAAAAATGTTGTAAGATATTTTAGTCTCTTCTCACCAAGACTTCATTTATTTGATCAAAAATAGATTAAAAATAGTGAAATATGATTACAATTTAAAACAACCGTTTTCTATGTGAATATATATATATAAAGTAAAGTGATCAAAGCTGCATTTTCAGCATCATTACTCCAGTCTTCAGTGTCACATGATCCTTCAGAAATCACTCTAATATGATGATTTGCTGCTCATGAAACATTTATGATTATTATCAATGTTGAAAACAGTTTTACTGCTTCATATTTTTTCAGGCTTCTGATGAATAAAAAGTTTAAAAGAGCAGCGTTTATTTGATCTTTTATAACATTATAAATGTCTTTACTGTCACTTGAAAGCATCTTTGCTGAATAAAAGTATTAATTATAAAAAACCGACCGGTGATGCTATGAAATAAAAAGGATATCAATTTTAACAAGCAATTTTACACGACATTCTCCACTTTTCCGGAATAACCGAAACTTGATTTCGTGACGCTATATTCCGCCTCCACAATAAGGGAACGTTTTGCAGAACAATTAAACTAAGCCCCGTGCCAGGAGAAATTAATGTTAAAATGTGGGCGTAATGATGAAAATGCCAACCATCATGTATCTGATTATCCTTATATAATCTTTCAAAGCTTGAGCTGCTTGATCTTGTACAACACAACCAATACCGAGAGTAATGGCATCATGGGTAAAAAACGGAACAATTATTATTTAAAATAAAAATAAGAAGGCTTATGCAGGTGGAGTCATGAACATGGACCGAGAACTACAACAAAGGGAAACGCGTCTAAATAAAAGGGCAAGTTTGGTCATAGACGGATGCTTACCTTCCTCTGGCCTTTTCTCACTCAAACCACTGACTACTTTTAGAGGGAAAGATGCCTATAACTGCTGGTCTAGGATCAGTTTTCTCTGTAATAATAGCATATTTGGCAAACGATACAGTGCGTATCTGTGAGAAGAACGTCAAAGGTTTCTATTTACAATGTGTTTTTGCAGCGTTGAGCACTGTAGCCAATCACAGACACATCTGTTGACTTCCTGAACACAAGTGTGGGTGTGTTCACGCTTGTAGTTCGGTTTGCTTGGTTCGGACAAAAAAAAAAAGAAAAATGTCGTCCAGGTCCACAGATTGGCATTTTAACACTGAACCTAAAGATACTGAACCTAAAGGCACAGGGATACGGTCACAACCTGATTGGTCGGCTTTTATTATGTATATCATGTGACGTAACTTACCGAACATCTAAAACAATGCTGTGTTCTGGGCTAAATGCGCTCGCTGTGTGTGTGTGTGTGTGTAGCTGCATATGATGGTATTCTGACCAGCTGAGAACTCGTGTAAAGCTTATAAATGTGTGAAGGAGTCAAAACAGCGTCAGGAATCCCTCCGTCACACACACACACCAAGATCTGCTGTGAGGAGACGCGGTTCTGACGCCTGAACTGAACTGTGATGAGCAACATCACGATTATGAAGAGAAAAAACAGCTGTGCTTGTTCATTCTGTCCTTTTTAGGGTCTCATCTTCCTGTTTTGGTTTGTTTACATGTCTTTGGTCCGTGTTGTGTTCATATATCAGTCGAGCCGCACCAGAGTTAGTTTGGAAGCGGATCGAGACTCGTCTCTTCAGTGTGTTTGGAGTCACCAGGGTTCAGATGACAGCGTTCACACTTATTCAAATGAACCGCACTAACAGAGCAATCGCACCAGGGTTCGTTTTAATCAAACCAAACATGCCAAGTGTGAACACACCCTTAAAGACTGACCCGGTTTATGTGGTTCATTATATATAAACTGTATAAATTTGACCTCTGTGACAATAATAAAACGAACTGTGGTTGTATGTCTATCAAATCTGTCAAAGTGGGCAGTTCTTGTCCAGAATAAATTGCACATTCAAACAGTAAGTATGAGACTGATCAGAAGAGGTGTTTCTAAACAGGTACTTTATGATGCTTGACGTGTACAGACAGGTGAATAATTTAAATGAGACACGGGACGATTTTGAGAGGAATGCAATTGTCACATTTCAGATACACTGCATGCAGTACCATAGTAAACATGGTAACCTTCACATTCAATCCTTCAAAGGCAAATGAAATGAACTGGACAAATAATCAAATTAGTAATACAAAAAACAATTATTCTTCTACTTTCAAAATGGCACGATGGTTGATTTTCGATTTGAGTCGTGTTGAATAGTTTTAATCGAGTGTAATTCTGCATTTTAGCAGTGTGTGTAGTAAACTCACATGAGGTACTGTGAACAGATCCCAGAGCAGCCGCTACTGTAACCAATAATACTGAATCATGAGCACATGAATACTACACCCAAACTAGAAAATAACAAATATTAACAGCAACAAAAGGAATAACGTCAAAAATACTGACAAAAGAACATCTGAGAACTGCTACTGGATTAGCTCATGTAAAACGGTTCAATTTGGATTTACAGACTATAATATTTCTATTCAGTTGACCTTTTTGGACTTGAACACTTCTGTAATGAGCAACATACTATCTCTGTGACCTACCGACTGCTGTCGGACTCAACGGATAAATAACCACAAACATGAAGCGTTTACAGTATGGAAACATCGTCTTCTGAAACGCAACGCGTATGAACGCTTCCTCCTTGAGATGTGACGTGAAACCATTGGTTAAGGACTGCGTTTTCATAAAACGTGTACAGGAACATGATGGACGCACACTGACGGCCCATGACACGACAGAACTGAACACACACATCTGCAGTTTGTGAAGTAAAGCACGAGGAAAGACCCTGAAAGGATTTCAGTACAGGCGAAATATGTGAATCCTCTCAAAGACATCAGGCTCATATTTCAACACAAAGTCAAAAGAATCAATGAGAATTTGAAGGGGAATGTGATTAATTATCATGATTATAATGTAACAATACAAAAAAAAAAAAATCTTGATTCTAAAAACAAGTAAAGATTCATATGATCATTCAAATGTTCTGGAGTGTGTCGTAAGATTAATCTATCTGCCTTTTCTGATGTTCAGGGTCTTTGGAAAATTTGGACAAAATCTTAGTAACACTGTATGAAAGATTCAATTCCAATTTATAAATCTAAGATCTAGGCCTGTATTGCTTTTAAATCAGACAAAGCACTACTGCAGATGAGTGTGAGAAAGAGAGAGACAGACACACATCCTTGACCCATGATGCTCTGGACCAATTCCTCACGTTTACTGAGTCCGCAGCTGATAGTCTGCAAAGAAAGGAGGAAATGAGCAAAGCTTAATTAAATGCCCAGAACGACAGGAAACAGGAAAAAATGAAAACACAGGGGGAAAGTTAATTGTGACAGCTGAACTTTCTCTCTCCACCCATCAAAACACAATCAAAAACTGAATCAATCCGTAAAATTGAGACATAAGTTCACAAAATGAACAAATTATGATTATAAAACTTGCTTGATGCGGATTGGTCAATTCAGCGTGGCAGATCAAGTAAACAGCACACATAGGAGGAAGACTAAATCTAGTTTACATGATTATAGAAAGTTATGCAACAATTTTGCAATATGAACACACTGCATTTTGTCCTTAAATTGTCATTAGGCTAGTTTCACAACCCTGAGAGCTTCAAGACAAAACAGGTTTTAATAGTGTCTTTGGTTTAAAGGGATATTTCACCTAAAAATAAATAATTTGATGATATTTTGAAGAATGTTAGAATTCTTCAAAATATCTTTTTTTGTGTTCAGCAGAACATTTTTGGGTGAACTATCGCTTTAAACTTTAGCGGTACCCTGGCATTAGAGTTCAATTCACCCCTGTCCTGTGAATCAGTTCAAACTGTCCATTTTAATCAATCGATTCGATAATTAGTTTGTCATCATGTGCCTTTTTAAAAAATAAATTCATGTCTAAATGTCAAAAATAAATGCTAGTAAACATTTCGGTATATAACAGTCCTTCCAGTTTTTTTGTGATTGTTTCGGGCAAAAATCCTTGATTACGCGGCACGTTTTCTTTAAAAATGCGATGGACTAGCGGGATATTCATGCAATTTTATGCGATGAAATTGCGGGAACTTGCAAAAACTGCGGTTTGATGAAAAAGAGAAAAAAAAGTGATTCCCCCAACACCCTGTTCTCACTAGGCTCCTACCTTAATGTAAAGAGTCATTTTTTATTACTTCCTATGATAAGCAAGCATACTACATCACAGAAAGTGCTGGAATATTTCAGTTCTCATCTTGTTTTATTTCAGACTGTAACGACGAATGGAAATAAGGTGTGGCCCCTTTAAGAGCTGCGCGCTCCCTGTCTAACTATCTGCAGTATTATATTGTATGTGCCATGCGCCTCGAACACCCCATGTGTGCGGGTAATTTCTGTTTGATGCTACTTCTTTTATCTTATTTTGTTTATTAAGTAACGATGTGGACGGTAGAACGTGTGACAGACAGTTATACGAGTTCGATTTGGGAATAAAGTGCGAGTTGTGAGATGCCAATCGCCTCCGTGAGTCTGTCTGGCCTCTGCAATAACTTCAGCTGTGACTGTGAGCTATCCCTATTTTTCTTCCCGACACAACGCGTTACAAGACCTTAATAAACACATCAAACTTACAAAACATTGATGAGTCAAACAAGTTCTGTAGCTTTACTAGAGGAATATGCTACAACTTCTGTAAAAATGAATAAATTAAATATTTAAAAATAAAGTGTGCTCCTGTTTTACAGCTTTTCAATGATGTTCACGTCGCGTAATTACGTCACTTCATAACGTTCCCATGGCAACAGGGGGAAACGGCTGCTCTCGTGTGAAGCAAACGCAACATTTTCCAAATTTTTGTTTACTTTTTTATATATGACTTTTTTGCGACGAAAATGCGGGGATTATAAAATCATGCAAGCCCCGCATATTTTGCGCGGAAATCAGCAATTTATGCGGCAAAATTGCAGAGTATTTGAAAAAAATGCGGCACATAAATATGCGAACTTTGGCTGATTATGCACTAAATCATGCGATCGCATAATCATGTTTTTCTGGAGGGACTGATATAAATGACAATTATTAAACCCATTCTTGTGTTCATTAAACATGCATTGATTATTTTGACTTATTATTTTGGAATTCAATTTGTATTACCTACAATGACTGTTATTATGGTTCCTTCTATCGGATTACATTTAATCATTTAGCAGATATATTATATTATATACAAATCATATTGCTTTACTATACCACTCAAAAATATAAATAATACCTTTGACTAATAAAACATGTGAAACAAACGGAGGCTCAGCTCTTGGCTGTAACGAGACGCACACGTGTCAAACTTTAAAATGCAAAGTCAAAAAAAAAAGTTTGTACTACAAACTGTACCAGCGTTTCTAATTTTATCTCGGTTTCACCATCTCTCCACGCGTCTGTCCTGAACATCCTCTTTTCGCAGAACAATTTCACCTCCGCATACAACACTAATCTCCCATCATTCTCTACCACATTGCTTAATAGTTACCAAATACCTGCAATACTGTGAAAAACAAAGACAAAAATAGAGAAAGAGAGAAGAGAGGATGAGAAAGAGGATGAGAGAGTCGCTTACCTCCGTTCTGGGTGATGTATCGAACCCACGGGAGCGCCTGATAGCCGCTCTTCTCGATGATCTTCAGGTAACGCACCTGTCGAAACACACACCACTGTAACACCACGCAATGCATTCAGGCCGATGGAAACACCAATACATTTGAGGGATGCAAAACAATAATGCTAAAGCCTTTGGTTCGGTGTAAATTATATGCGAAATTTAAGTTGCTTTTCCATCTTTACAGTGCAAAGTTGGCTACAGATGGCTTTACAGAGAAAGAAAGAACAAAAATATTGTATTTAAGTATGCAATATGATAAATCCTGCACACTTATGCACATATCAGTTACTTGCACATATGTGACCCTGGACCACAAAACCAGTCATATGGGTCAATTTTTTGATATTGAGATTTACACATCATCTGAAAGCTGAATTAATAAGCTTATCATTGATGTATGGTAGGATAGGACGATATTGCTCGAGATCTGGAATCTGAGGGTGCAAAAAAAATCAAAACATTGAGAAAATCTCCTTTAAAATTGTGCATTTATGTTCACGATTGTGCTGCATTCACTCACAAAAATAAATCTTTTATATATTTACGGCAGGAAATTTACGAAATATCTTCATGGGACATGATCTTTACTTAATATCCTAATGATTTTTGGCATAAAAGAAAAATCGATAATTTTGACCCATATAATGTATTGTTGGCTATTGCCACAAATATACCCGTGCGACATGTGACTGGTTTTGTGGTCCAGGGTCACATATGCTAGGTTAATTCTTCATTGATAGTATGCAATATGATTCAACAAAAAAATGGGGTTGTGGAATATCTCGCAAGGGCACAAACATCCCAGTCTTGTGGCATCTAAACATAACTTTGCATTAGCTTCAGGTCAGGCCAATGCGGGCATCACACGGGCAGCAGAGCCTGGGAAAGTGGCAGAGTGTGATGCCACGGGCGGAAGCGCATGAAGAAGTGAGATTGGGGAAACGGCACCTTTCAGTGCCGAGCGCTATTGAGTCACTCGTTGCATCCTTACGACGGGGCCTTGCATCACTGCTCACAACAGAAGCCTTTGCACAACCCTTCCAAAACATGCTGAAAGAGCACAATCACGTTTGGTAAGAGATGACAGATACCCTGATACTCAGAATTAGAGATGAAGTGTGTTGTATTTTCTCACGTTTAAATATGGTTAAGCAAGTTTAATGTGCAGAGACAACTATTTTAAAGTCTTATGCTTATGGCGTTCTGGGTGGTTTCTTACGGTCTCAAGTACCTCTTGACACATTATATATATATATATATATATATATATATATATATATATATATATATATATATATGTACATATCAGTACAGTATAATACACATATCAGTATATATATATATATATATATATATATATATATATATATATCAGTACATATACAGGGCTCAAATTTAATCCAATTTAATCAATTTAATTGTCCAGAACAAGTGGATTTTTTGAAGGGGCAAATAAAAGAGAAACCTGATTGAATACGCCAATAACAAAAAAATAAAGTCTCTTACATTTTAGATGCAATATTGACTGTTTTTGTTCTGTTTCAGCAGCAACGATCACAGCAGAACCATAGCACATCTCACAGCAACACTCAACCGTGTTTCATTACTGAATGATTCAGTGTTTTGAACGAATCAGTTGAGTGAAAGATTCAATGACCCATTCATAAACAACTCCCTCATTCTTGAATGAATCAGCCTTTAAATTTTATAAACATTGTTTTAATGAATGACATTAAGACGGACACTTGTCACCACGTACTGGCGGTTTAGTTTTATGTTTAGAAGCATCATCCCCCCCCCCTTAACATTTCTTATTTGTACTTTCAAAAAATATTTAAAACAATTTCATAACATTATTTAATGCAGTTGTAATCTTTCAAATTTGATTAGTAGCCACTCTATAGAATTTTAATATTCTAATTGAATTTGTTTTAATCAAATTTAAGACTTTAAAAATGAAAGATGAAGCATACATCTTCATTTATAAATGAAAAAAAAAAAATGAAAAAAAAAAGCCCTCTGGGGAAATACCACAAATATGCAGATTTAAATATGTCAAAGTTGATAGAACACTGATGAGAATATTGAATAAATTATATTTAAGGCCCTTGCACACTGAGTCCGAAATTTTCGTATGCGTTAACTTTTTTTGTATTCGTGATTCGGTGGCTCTGTCAAAACACCATTCAAACTGCTCGCTACGGATGCGAAAAACGCAGAAAATCGAACCCGATTCGATTTTTTTTTATGACGGACGAAAGTTTCGGAGGCAGTGTGCAAGCGTGATTGACATAACGTGAGCTCGTATTAATTATTTAACGTGCAAGAATTTCGGACTCAGTGTGCAAGGGCCTTTACACCACAAAAAAAATCTATTCGGTCATTCACTTTCCTGAAGGACAAGCACATGTCGAGCCCTGATATATACAATATATATATATATATATATGAACTCTAAAATGAAGTCACCAATGAGTAAGTTACTATCTGTTTGACAGAACAATTCACAGGGGTGGAAGGGGCGGTAGGAGTGTTTGGGATTTTTTTTTTTTTGGAAGCTATCTTTATTTTTGCCATGAATTTCATTTGATGTCGCTAGTCACCTTTAGTTTAAACATCTCTCGAGATCAGGGTGGACATTTAAGACAAATGAAATTACAGTAGTCCTGTCCAAGCGCGTCCTCCAGCAGCTCAGTGTTTGTTGATTTTGCAGGGTTTTTAATCTACCGAGCGTTTGTTCTAATCATGGACTCTATTCTCCCTGAAAACCGTTCAGAAATAGCCCAGCAGACGCAAATTAGACTTATGCAGAATGAGAGATGTATTCTAGGTATCAATGCAGATTTTAAAAAGAACTCGGTCCAGTTAAAGCAAGAGGACAACCCTGCGCGGGCACGTTTCAGGAGGTATTTTTGGGAACACCGTGTCCTGGCGTCCGTGAGCCGGTAATGTGCCACTCTTGGGTGCAGCTCACACAAACTTACTAGGCCACCATCAGTGCAAGCGAACAGCAGACGGGCACAGCGAGACGGCCAGACTGTAAAGGTCTAAATGCAGAGCCATCCGAGCGACGCTTGTTTTGAGTAAATGTAGCGATTCGGTCTTGTCGGGTTGAGTTTATGTCATGCTTTTGGTCACCTTTGGCTCGGTCAGCCCTTCATGAACACTAGTGTATATTTGTAGCCGACACTGAGGACGCTGGACGTGTGGGTAGTGCTGAGATTTGCGTGGTCACCACCGGTCTCTCATTAGCATGAACTAACTGGCCTGTGGAGCGAGCTCAAAGTCGGAGACGGGTAGTCAGACTTGCACGAACATACGCGGCCACAGACACACACACATCAAACCCTCGACCTGTCGCTGACTCAGCTCTTTACGCTCACTATGTAAACAAGAAAACAGAATATACATGAGGGATGTTGCTGAAGGACAGTACTTTAGTTTTTTTTAGACTGATAATGAGATGAACAAAATTAAAAACATACTGTTGACAACAACATGAAGAGGGAAAAACAATATACGGCATTACCACAGGGCTTCTCATTAACATCAACCAACCCACCAAACACGGGTGTATTTCAACAGTGGCTTGTAACACAGTCACTCCTACTAGACACTTTGGCGGGTTGAATTTTATCCAATACATATATTTTTCTATTGTAGTCTTTTAAAAAGGCATCTGAAAATATAAACTAAGTGCAATGTAGTGTCAAAAATATCGGTACTATGATCTCTCTCTCTCTCTCTCTCTCTCTCTCTCTCTCTCTCTCTCTCTCTCTCTCTCTCTCTCTCTCTCTCTCTCTCTCTCTCTCTCTCTCTCTCTCTCTCTCTCTCTCTCTCTCTCTCTCTCTCTCTCTCTCTCTCTCTCTCTCTCTCTCGAACGAAATGCCGGTCTTGGTGAGTATTCACGTAAACACAATAAGTTGTTTTAAGTGAACGTAAACAGTTGAGAAAGAAAGCGCATGTATAATGGATCTGTGCGTCAGGTCTTAAAGTGACAGCAGCCTAATATTCCTGCAGCCAAATTATGAGATAATATTAAAGATATCTATATGGCAATTTTTCCCCATGGTATCGGTCAAAATTGTTGCCAGTGAAAATGCTGAATGGCTCGTAACTTTGGAAAACCACTAGCCACAGTGGCTGGTGAGCAAAAAAAGTTAATGTCAAGCCCATGCCATAACACATAGTAATGCGATATTTTATATATTACTCAAATATTATTTCCATGCCATTTGTAATTACATATTTGTGCCATTTTAGTGATGATAAAATCCAGTAAAAATAATATGACATGACGTAATATTATGAGAGCAAATTTAAAGTGCAAAAAAACTATGACTAAAACAAACAAAAACACTGATTTTGATTCAAGAGTCAAATTATACATTGGAAAAAGTGGCGACCTAACACAGAACCAAAACCATTTAGAAAAAAATCTCCTTTAAAAACAAAAACACTAAAATGTATTATAATTATTTTAAATTATTTTGCACCAAACAGTCCTGGTTTTATTAATAAAACTGAGAAATATGCCTAAAATAATATATAAATATATATATATATATATACACACACATATACATTATATATATATATATATATATATATATATATGTATATGTGTGTGTGTGTGTGTGTGTATATATATATATATATATATATATATATAGGATTATAGTAAAAGATTAGTTGTAGTCCTATCCTGAATCTGTGGTTTACATTTTATTTTCGGCCTTTATAGGCCAGTAGAAATACGACAAGATTGAATGTTGAAGAAAATGTTGCGAGCCAGACTCGAACATGTCATATTAGGCCATGGCTCTGACATGCGGGCACGGTCCTGAAGGCCTCAAAGCTTTAGGGAGTTAAAGATGGTTTGAGTCTTAGAAATATTTGAGAAAATTACACGTCTACAAAGTCTGTGCCCTCAGAGCCGATGAGCTCCTGACGGTAATAGAGGAACGGTCATTTACTGCAGAACCGGCAATGAGATGCTGCACGTTCCACCTAATAACAGTGTGCAAACACACA